GCTACAAAGTTAGCCCTTTTTTAATTAGCCTGGTTCCCAACCAGGTCTTCCTCTGGAGAAGAAGAAAAGAATGAGAGAGCATGCATTGAGATGTGATGTCTTCCACTTGGACCCTGTCAATCCTGGGCAGTAGGCTTTTAAGACTCCAACCCAGAGCAGCCTCCAATTAAATGATCTACAATCAGGTACTTGTTGCAGCTTTAAGTCTGTCACCAAATCCTCAGACCAGAAGAATTCCCAAAGGCCAAACTTGACCTTGAGCTAACCTGAGTTCAGGCCAGGTCCAGAATTACACTATATTTCAATTGCTCTTCCAACTCCAGCTTCCCCCCTTCTTGGCTTCCCAGAGACCAATTATTTAATGGCCTCGAGGGGTTCAAATCTAAAGAATGGTACAGATATAATTATTATTTTAATGATAATTTAATTATGATTTAAATTTAAAATACTAAAGGATTATTATTTTGATTTCTACCTGATTTAACTGAATTTTATTACACTGTGATTGATTTTCTTAGGACTCTGGTATATGGGGCAGTGGTGATTAGCCAATGGGTTAAGTGTCTCCAGATTTCCAGGTATCCCTTACCCTTATCTAGTCCCTGTTGCATGAAACCTCTGAAAACTTTGAAGCTAAGGTCTGAATTTGATCTTGAAGATTACTTAAACTTCCAGAGTCTCACCTGGATGGCCAAGACAGTTGTACAGGATGCCTGTTAAGATTTCCATGCAGGACACATAACCTATTAATATTCATTGATTAGAGGTATGGAGAGTACCAACCAGGGTTGCAGTCTTACTGCTTCAATTACTTTTAGTTGGGCATTTAGAAAATGATGAATTCTACTTGATACATTCAATTCTGAAATACCTTGGCATTATTCAATTATTCATTTAATAAATATTTAACAAACACTATATATAGGAGGATTATGGAGATACAGTGGGATTAGGGTAATGAGAAAGACATACATGTTTCTGCCTTCATGGAGCTTACTATGTATTGGGAAATGTAGACAATAATCATAGTAAAAAATATAATGAGTGTTGTAAAAGGATAACCACAGGATGCTAGAAAGCATCTATCAATCAAGCACAGCTCTTTAATATTGTGTAACTATCATTTTTAGGCTTTTATCCTTTGCCTGGCAACCACTGAAGCAAATATCCAATTCTGTGCCTCCTTTCCTAAGAGTAACTAATTTGTCCTGGTTTGTCCAGGACTTACTTGATTTTGGCACTAAACTTCCCCAGTCAGAGAAAACCCTCAATCCTGAGTAAACCAGGATAGGATTGGTTAAACTTTTTGCCTCAGAGAAAGTTTGGAGCAGAGTTTTCTGGCAGGGGAAGTGTTGCTTTTTTGGGAGGGAAAAACCTCAAAATTAAGGGAGTGGGAGACAGTAGCAGAGAGTCTTTTTCAAAGTCCCCACTGTTTTGACACTTGCAACAGTAGTTGGACTTTCATCAGTAATGATAGTAATGTTATCCTTGCAAAGGGGACATTGAAGCAGTAATACAGAGTCCAATTCTCCTATTAGGACATGAGTTCCTAGAAGGAGAGAGGAGAGTCTACTCCTTTTTTAAGCCTACATCATTTTTACCACATAATTTGTATATTTTTGTCATGTAATAAAAATTATTCAGTTGTCAAAATTTTAAAAATTAAAATTCAACACTAATTTTACTATGTGTCTACTTTGTCCTGGGCCCTGAGCTAGGCGCTCCCATATGTTATCTCCTTCAGTCTTACTACATCTTCAGATTTGTGTTAGGATAAAGGCAAGCTGTTATAAAAAAAAATATCTCAAAATACAGGATTAGTCAAGGCATGAGTTTCTTTTTGTGAATATTCAAATAATGTTCCAGATGATGGTCCACTAAACAAGTTCAAAGCTAGTTTGCTGGCTCTGCCACCTTTAACATATGGCTTCCTTGGGTCCAACATGGCTGCTCTGGCCAAGAGGTAGAGAAAAAAGGCCAGACAAGCACATCCAAATTTGCTGAAACACAACCAGAAGTGGGAGAAAAGCATTTTGTTCACATCTTATTGGCCAGAATTTAGTTACATGGTTATAATAATATGCAAAGTGTGCTTGGAAATGTAATTTCTAATTTGACAGCCATCTATCCATCTAAGACTGGGGATTCATATTATTAAACAAGGGAAAAGGCATATTGATGGGCAAGTCTCACAAAACACCTCATACCTATGGATGAGTATCTTCCGGAAGATGTGGATTTCCTGCCTAGAGAGGTGCTTTGTTTTGTCAGTGCATTTAGAATTAAGTTGGCTCTGAAAGGCTACCTCAACTTATGAGTTTGGCATATTGAAAAACAAAACAAAACAAAAAACACAAAACATACCAAACAAGCAATTTCTTAATTTCCAGTGGAGGAAAATACATATCAGTAACTAGAATGTTTATGTTCCCTATTCAAGCTAAGAGTTTCCTGATATGTAGCTCTTAGAAGACCACATCACAGTATATACAAGCATATCCTGAGCATCTAATCTGGGCCACAGGCTGTGCTAGACATTTTTTACAAATAATCTAATTTGATCTACATCCTCAATTTGATGAGGTAAGGACCATTTTGACCATTTTGACCATTTTACAGGAAAGAAAATTTAACAGCAGAGAGATTATGTAGCTAAAATATGATGAGGCTGGTGTCTGAATCCAAATCTGATACCTGAGTGGTTGCTTTTTCCACTACATTCTACTGCTTATGTGGGAGCTTTTGTAGTATCTTCTAGATATCTATGGTGATGTTTTTACTGCTTGTGCCTCTTTGTATAGATTTTGACTATAGCATTTGTTGCAGTTCTTATTATGGAAGGCTATCTCTTCCAGCCTCCCTCTATCTCCTGGTATTTATGGATCATACCTTAATCATTTTACACAATTGAGGCCAGCACAGGGTCTAGTATTTGTTACATGATTAAACAGATTATTAAATTAATAAATAAAAACCTCCCTTCACCATAGTTAAAACCAGACCTTTGGGGGTACCCATTCCCTAATTGGAGAACTAGATGATGTTTTATATCCTTTCTAATCCAAATTTCTTTTATGATGAGTAAATGATAACAGAATCAGCACAGCCAAAACTAATGCATATAAATTGAATTTCTTTTTCTTTTAATTTATTGATTTTTTTTTTTTTACAGAGAGAAAGAAAGGGGGATAGAGAGTTAGAAACATTGATGAGAGAGAATCATTGATCAGCTGCCTCTTGCACCACCCCCCTCCCCCACTGGGAATGTGCCCGCAACCAAGGTACATGCGCTTGACCTGAATTGAACCTGGGACCCTTCAGTCCGCATGCCAATGCTTTATCCACTGAGCCAAACCGGTTTCAGCTGAATTTATTTTTCAACACTCCAACTAAATAAAATGCTTCTGCGGATCAGATTCTTTCACCAACTGCAAGTTCTCAAACTATGGGGGCCTGGAATCTATATTTTCAGATGAGTCTTCAGAGGACTCATTATCAGGTAATTGGAAACACTGAGACAAGGTATGCATGAATTCTTCATAAACTATAAAACGTGGTACTATGTGAGGCATTATTGTGGAGTAAGGGTAATAATCCCTGCTGTCTTTGCCACACAAGGTGATTTAAATAAAAGAAAAAGCATTGCTTTGTAAAATTCAGGAACTAAAGCTATCAGACCCAGAGGCAATCTCTTCCTGATCCTCATCGCAGGAGTGGACTGGGTGGGTAGAAGGGTTCTGTAAGCTCTATATGGAGGAGAAAGGCACAGGTAGCTTGGAAAAGATCCTTTCCACTCTTTGCCTTTCCAGTATCTCAGAACCTGGGCTGTAAGCTGTGCTGGTGCAGAACATCAAGGTCCCTCTCTTCCTTCACTTATTCATTCTAAGGCCTCTTCTGTCAAGAGAGAAATCTGACAAAGAAAGGAACATAGATTTCCAGTCACACCTTAAAAAGATGGCTGTTCTTCCTGAACCCCTGGATTTCTCCTGACACCAGCCCAGACATGTTCTTTTACAAGACCCTGCTTTCCAAGAGACCCCATTTCTTGAACCTCTCCTGACTTGTTTGCTTATATCAAAATGTATTGGTCCAGGCTTCTGTTCTTTTGGAGTACTAGTGTGGCAGATCAACAAGATAAATTATATTTAAGGCACTAAATTAAGAGCTTCCAGAAAGCAGATTTGGGTTTATTTATTTATATGCCTATGATCCTAGATTCTGGGTCATATTTGAAGGGTTGAGATTGAACTCATTTAAAGTTAAATGTGGAAAAGGTAGCTGGCATTTCGATAGCTCCCTTTATTCATTCAACAAATATTTGAATATTTACTATATGAAGGACATATTCTAAGAAAAAATATAGGAAATTTTCAAACTTTGAACTTCAGCATTACTTAGAGTGCTTGTTAAAAGTTTTGAATCATAGATTCTGATTCGGGTCTGGATTGGAACTGGTTAGAATTTGCATTTCTAACCAGTTCCCAGGTAAAGTTGATGCTGCTGGTCTGAGGGCCACTAATATAGGTCCTGGCAGGCATCAAGTCCCTGACCTCACAGGGTGCAGTCTAGTTGGCTATGCCAAAAAGACTAAAGATGGAGATTTCAGAAATATTGTCAGGTCAGCAGAGGAGGCACCGAAACCCTTAGTCTGTGCCTGCCACCCCAGTCATCTACCAACTGAAAAGTTAGATGTGTTGGGCAGCTTTGAAAGCAGCGGGCAGCTCCTCGGATCAGGTTTGGGGCGGTGAGCAGAGGGTGCGCGCTGGAAGGCTGGGGACCGGGGACATTCTTCGGACAGGCCTCGGCGGAGAGCAGAGGAAGTCGCCCTCTCCCTCCGCGGCCCCGCCCGCGCCTGCTCTCCGCCTGCGTCCGGGGCGGTGGCGGCAGCGGCGCGGGGCGGGGCGCCACGACCCCCGTGCCTCCCCTGCCCCCTGGTTGTAGACGCTGCAGCCCGGCTGGCTCGGCCTTGAGGCGCCGCAGTGCCGACCGGCCAGCGAGCCATGGCCCAGCCCGGCGAGGAGGCTCTGCCCGGGCCCGAGACCGCGGTGCAGATCCGCGTTGCCATCCAGGAGGCCGAGGACGCGGAGGAGCTGGAAGAGGACGAGGAGGGCGCAGGGGCGCGCGGCGCGGGGCACCCGGCTCGGTACCTCAGCCCCGACTGGGGCAGCGCTAGCGAGGAGGAGCCCAGCCGCGGGCACAGGTAGGCGCGGCAGCTGCAGGGCCGGGTGGGAGCTCCAGACCCCTGGTCGGGCGGATGGGAATTCGGGGGCGACCGCTCAGCGGGCGCAGGGGGTTGAGTCAGTGCTGCCCCGGGGACGCTGCTTCGGGTGTCGCACAGTATCAGAAGGGCTTGTGGCCGTCCTTGTGCCAGGGTCCGCAGCTCTATAACGCGATCAAGGCTCCCTCCCTGCCAGGGTTGGTAGCGGGGATCAGAGGGGCCTGTCCGTGGGCATGGTCTGGGACCCAGAAAGAAGTCCTCCCTGGGCTATCCTCTCCCTGTCCTCTCCTTCTCGAGCTTCTAAAAAGCCCAGCCTGAATTTTACTCTAGAGGGTGTCTCCCTCTCCACCCCCCACCTTGTTCCAGGGATTCCAGCAAATCATCACTGCCCAGACTGTTTATTAATCCAAATGGCTTCCCTCTCTGGGTGGGGTCAGGCAAAGGGGACACTTGCTGCTGTGGGATCCTAGGAGGGGTGATTTCATGGTGTAGAGAGCTTTGTGGCCCTGATTTGGGATCCGTTTAGGGCTTACTGCCTGTATCCTCCCGTGCTGGGGATTCCCATTTTCACATAGTCTTCCCCACCTGATTTCTATGCTTGCATCATCTTCTTGCTGCCTTGGCGTTGGGTTCCTGGGTCCTAGGTAGTCTGGAGCTGGTATGGCACAAGAAGCCACCTGCCTAACCATGCCTCTGGGCCCTGAACTTTGCCATCAACTGGAGATCTTATCCTTGTGTCCAACTAATGCCCAAGCCTTTTAGGACTGTGGTTTTGTTCCTGGTATTGAAAGGAGATACAGTATTGAGTATCCATAGAAATGAGAATAGGAAATGGCAGAACTTGCAAGTTCTGGGAAATGCCAACAGGCACTTATTAAGAGCCTTCTTCTAAGACTCTTTGCACATGCTTTTAGCTGTTAGGGCTCTGCAGGATTATTCTGCGGCAGGCATAAATCTTTTTCATTTGAAGAATAGTCAGCTCAAAGGCATAAGGAGACTGGGACCAAAGCTATCCCCCATCACTCACTGACTCTTTCCTAGTCAAAAAGTCTGGATTTGGGAACCCCGAGATTCAGCGTAGTCCAGTGGAGACAGGGGTATTTGAGGAGGAAAGCTGGGCCACAGCAAATGACATAGTAGACATTTCAGCACTTTACATACTATGGAGTCTGATTCATTAATTCAGCTCTGCTGAGTATTGAGAGTATAAAAATACTGACTCCAAAGTCACTGGATCTCACAGTGTTCAGAAGGCAGCCACCTAGTCAAGTAATTTCAGAGGTCATTATAATAGTTCTGAGTGGTTTATCCTTCTCACATTTATTTTGCCTCTGGTTAGCAAAAAGTTGTCCTCTATCCTGGGGCTAAGACAGTACCATTAGCATGGAGTAAAGACCTACTTGTTTTGGGGGCCCAGAAAGATCCCCTATGGGATCTAGGAGAACATGATCCTCAGTTCTTGTAGGCCTCTTGCCCTCACCCTCCTCACCTTCTCTACAGAACCGCCCTTTTCTCCCAGCTCCAGTCCAGTGGCTCGAGTCTCATAAAACATTCAGTCAGAAGCATTTTCTGCTGCCCACTGGCATAGAGTTGACCCCAGAAAAATCTCTGAGGCTCTTCAGGGTAGTGTAGCCAACAGAACTCAGCACACATTCAGAGCACAAGGAGATGCAGCCAAGGACAGGATGCACACTGTCCCTCATTTGGACCCAGCCTGGCACCGGAGAAGCTGCCACTCTGGGAGAATGTCAAGTGCATTCTCCAGGCACTAGGGTCCCAGAGCCTGCAAGAGGCAGCCCAGGTTTCTGAACCTGCTCGGTGAGTTGTGGCTCTCACCCACATCTTCCCCGCAGCCCATTGCTTCCTTTCCTGCCTGCCCTAACAATTCATGCTCCCACAGGCCCGATCCCCTCTAGGTCCCTGAACACAGGGTGCAGTTTGTGTCTGTATGCCTTTGTAATTATGCCTCTAGGTCCCTCTGATTGATGACTTCTAGTCAGCCTGGAAGCTTTACTGCCTCTTCCACACTATCTCCATCCTGACTCCAAAACTGATTGATGACTTCTAGTCAGCCTGGAAGCTTTACTGCCTCTTCCACACTATCTCCATCCGGACCTAGAGGGGATCGGGCCTGTGGGAGCATGAATTGTTAGGGCAGGCAGGAAAGGAAGCAATGGGCTGCGGGGAAGATGTGGGTGAGAGCCACATCTCACCGAGCCTCTTCCACACTATCTCCATCCTGACTCCAAAACTGATTTGTTTCCTCTCCTTTGTGTTGCTGTAGCCATAGATCCATTTTAGTCCAAGCACTTACCCACAATTACAATTCTAGAGTTCCATATCCCTCAACAGAATATGAGCTTCATGAATTCAGGGACCGTGCTTGCCCTGTTCTCAGTACCTGGCATATAGTGAGTATTTTCCAAATATTTGTCGAATGAATCATGTCCCTGAGGTCAGAATCACTCTATGGGGTTGAAGTATATGTGTTTCTCCTCACTAGATAGTGAGGTCCTTGAAGGCAGTGATCTTGCCTGAGTCCTCTCAGTAACTCCAGTGTCTCGCCCAATACCTGGCTTATACCCAAGGACAAGGGATAAATGGAAAAAAGGAAAAATCTTTGTAACCTCCAAATGTTCATTAGTCTTCTTACATCTTGTTCACTAAAAAGTTACTTTCCTTTTATTATCACCTTTTAACTTAAAAATTTCAAACATAAAATGTGAAACAATAGTACAGTTGGAAATATTTTTGTCATTTATTTGATGGATATATAATGTGTATGGTTTTTCCTGAAGCATTTACAGATATCTGGTACATAAGACTTATACCTTACATACTTCATTTTGTAGCTCTTAATAATGACATTATCCTATAAAGCCATAATAATATTATTGCAATTAAGAAAATTATCAATTGCCTGCCCTAGCCTGTTTGGCTAAGTGGATAGAGCATTGGCCTGTGGACTGAAGGGCCCCAGGTTTGATTCTGGTTGGGAGCACATGCCTGGGTTGCCAGCTGGATCCCCAGTAGGGGGAGTGCAGGAGGCAGCTGATCAATGATTCTCTCTCATCATTGATGTTTCTATCTCTCTCCCTCTCCCTTCCTCTCTGAAATCAATAAAAATATTTTTAGAGTATTCTTTAAAAAGAAAATTAACAATTCCCTCATATAATCCCTAAAATAATCTAACCGTCAAGTCTCATAGCCAGGGTTCCCCCAATTGCCCCATATTGTGTTTTACAGCTCTTATTTCCCCCCTTTACACTAGAATCCAATCCAAGTTGAGGCATTTGCCTATTATGTCTTTAGAATCTTTTAATCTAGAACATTACCACTTTTTAAAAAATGCTTCTCTATTTTGGAACTAAGAGGCCAGATGTCTCGTTGAATGTTTCATAGTTTGAATTGGTCTGATTTAACTTGCTCCTTTGTGCCATGTGTTTCCTGTAAACTGGAAGTTAGGGCTAAAGGCTTGATTAGATTCAGATTAGACATTTGGGCAAGAACACTTCACAAGCAATGCCATGGGTTTTTCATTGCATCTCTTTAGGCAGCATCTACCATTAGTGATGCTAAATTTGACTTCTTGGTTAAGGTGGTCCCTCTATTGCAATGAACAAGTAATAGGTGTACTTCTTGTGAATATTCTTTCTCCAACCACTTTCTCCTAATGGTAGTAGCATGCATTGATGATCCTTGCTGGAGTCAGTTAATTTGGGATGGCAAATTGGTGATTTTCTAATTTTATCCTTTATAGTACATTTATTTGCATTCTGCTGTAAAAGAGAGTTTTGTGTCATACCTAGAATTGAACAAGAGTTCCTCCTAAAAAGGCAAACAGAAATGGTTAATTGTTTCCCCTTTTTTGAGTACTTCCTTACTTTCTGGTATTTTATATTCTTGACTTAATTTACATTTTCCCTATTCCAGTCATGGGATTTAGCCATTTCCACAGGAATCCCTAGTTTTTCAAATACTAGTGGGAAGGTATTTAGAAACCAAGACTTGGATTTGAATGCTAATATCTACTGGGGCACCATTGTTTTCAGGTCCTTTCAATGGACAGAGCTAGGAAATCTTTTCTTTGTTTAAATTTATATTGCTAATTCTAATTTAATATTTTAAGGTTTTGCTTTACTTCCTTTAATTTTACCCTGGAACTCTTGATTTCTAATAATATTAAACTATTTGTTTTCTTTGTCTTAAAATGTATAAAATAATTTAAAATTATAATCTCTATAATAAAGAGCCAGGGTGTAACACCCATATGACTGAAGCTCCTTATTACTGAAGCTGGATCAGAAGGGAAGTCAGTGCTGGGGCAACCCAGTGCTGACTACTTTGCTGGTAGGCCAGGAGCCCCAGCACTAATTGCTAGGAGGCTGAGAATCAGGGTCAGAGAGAGGCCCGAAGAGAGAAACAGGACTGATCCATTGCCTCTGTGGCAGCTTTTGAGCAGTATTTGCCTCTCTCTTTCTCTCCCAGTGTGGCCAGCAGCCGGCCTCCATTTCTCTCCAGGACTCCACCTGAGCTACTGATTAGCCCCACCTTCTTGATCAGGCCCCATTGTTAGGTCCAGGGACACTTACTGGCATAGAAACTGACCAATCAGAACCAAATCTGGGGGCTTAGAGGTGTTTCAGTCCAGGGAGAGTGATTAATCCCGAGGCTGGCTCCAGCAATGGCCTTCACAAATCTACAGAAAGTGCTCATCAGTGACAGCCTGTCTCCTTGATGCCGGAAGATCCTGCAAGATGGAGGACTGTAGGTGGTGGAGAAGCAGAACCTGAGCAAAGAGAAGCTGATAGTCAAGCTGCAGGACTGCAAAGGCCTTCTCCTTTCCTCAGCCACCAAGGTGATCATGGATGTCATCAATGCAGCAGAGAAGCTCCAGGTGGTGGGCAGGGCCAGCACCAGCGTGGACAACGTGGACCTGGAGGCCGCCACAAGGAAGGGCATCCTGCTCACGAACACTCCCA